GACAATAGGCTCCCATGTATTGACCTCCATATCACGACATTTTAACAGGATGATGTCCGACCGCATACGGCAATAGTTTCTACTGTTTCGTTCTTATTCACAATTACTTTGGTCAACAAGGTCGCCCGATCTCACCCACTTGGGCACGCTTGGGTTGTTTGATGAAAAACAGCTCGGGATCATGCCGATCTAACGCGACAATTGGAGGGAGGATATCCCGCAACTCTATCAATCAATGCCAAGCCGAATAACAGCCTGCATAAGAGCCAGAAAAGGGCCAACCCCTTATCGATTTGATTCACTATATTATATCTTTATAGATAAATATCCTCTCCCGGCAAAATTTCCATATATTTTTTGGGCTATAGAATTGGCCTAGCTACTTTACCAGCTAAACACCTCTTTGGCAGATTGTGAAAATTCCATTAGATCCCTTGTGGATCTCATGGAATAAAGTCCGCCCTAGACTGACGAGGACAATTTAGCCCGAAACCATGGTCTCTAGGTGTGTTTTCCAAAGCTGGTGTTGTGGCTTTGTCATCGACCCGAGGCCACTAGTTTGTGGCGACGGTCAATAAATGACGTCTAGCTTTGATTTATATTTTAACGGGAGAGGTGTGTGACCTTTATCTTTATATATTATATATCTCTATATCCTGAGTAAAACATGCTATTTTCCTTTGAGAATTGAATCGTTCTTTTCCTATACATATATGTCACCATCTACCGAATTTCGTCCCATTCGGTTAAATTTCTTCTTGATACATCGTGCTTTTTTTTTGTATTTGTCTCTTAGAGATCATATAATAACTCTCTCTATAAATATAGCTGCAGGATGATCTATATATATAAAGGAAATTTGTGTATTTTGCCTACTTCATGTGCCTCCACAAATGGTCTAATATCCGAATATTTTGTTGTAGGATTTGACATCAATCTATCCCTTCCCTCCAGTTATGTGACTTTATAAAAAGATAAAAGAAAACCATATATATATATATTTTTAAATATTTCGTGCAAAAAAAAAGAACAAAATAATCGAGTTTTAAAAACTTTAAAATGTATATATAGTATATATATATATATATATATAGTAGTAGTGTGTGTGACATATACTATTGTTTATTATAATTTTTTTTTAAATTTGATATCTTAAAGAAGTTTTTCTAGTATTTTTTATTGGATTGAGCTGCGCGAAAAGAGAGGGAAGGATATGGAAGAAGAAGAGAACTGCCTGGCAGCGCTGAAGAACACCATTCTCACCAACTACGAGTCCATCAAGTCTCTCGACAACAACCTGCGAGACAAGAACCAGTACATCGGCTTCCTCTTGGAGAAGCTCAAGAAGAAGGAACTCAACCTGGAGCAAATGCGAGAAGCGATGAAAGAGAAAGACGCCATCATCGGCGAATTCGAGAACAAGAAGGAAGAGTGCGAAAGCTTCATCCTCCAGAAAAATGCCTACATCAACGAAATGCTGAAAAGCCTGGAGCGAAAGAAGTCGAAGATAAATCAACTGAGGGACGTAGTGTTGGAGAAGGAGAGAGGCATGGAGGAGCTGAGAATGGAGATGGAGGACTTCAAGGAAAGGATTAGGGAGAAGAACGACATCATCACCGCCCTGGAGATGAAATTGGGAGAACATAAGCGCAAATACAGCGAGGTGGTCGAGAAAATTAACTCCCTCACGGAATCGCTGAACGGGAAGGATGAGGAGCTGAACGAAATTAGCATTCTCCTCAGGGACCGGGACGAGAGGATGCGGGAGATGGAGAAAGAATGGGAAGAGAAGAATCTCGTTATCAAAGACCTTGACAAGATCATTTCCAAGAGGGATGAAACCATCCTCCAGCTCAACGCCCAACTGGGAGGCTTCCAGAACGATTACGATCTCCTCAAGTCGGAGGCCATCGAGAAGGATAATGCCATCCAGAACCTTGAGATGTCAGCCATGGAGATGAAGACGCACCTGTCCCTCAGGATAAAGGATCTGAACGAACTCGAGAGCGTTCTGAAAGAGAGGTCCGATGAGATCACCGAGTTGGAAAGATTAGTGGACGAAAAGGTCATGTCCCAACGTGAGCTCCAGAAAGTCATCGAAGCCAAGAACGACACCATCCTGGGGATGAAGCAGACTTTGGAAGATTACCAGGGCGAGGTGGATCTCCTCAAGATCAACATTCTGGAGAAGAACAAAGAGATCCAGTATATGGACGGGGAGGTGAAGGACAGAGAAAGCTACATCGAAATCCTCAAGTCCAAACTCGACCAGGAGCTCGAGAACCAGAGCAACTTGGAGCAGAGGATACTAATAGTAGAAGAGGAGAAGAACAGTCTGATCAATAGCAGCTTCCAGATGCAGGACAACCTTAAGGAGAAGGAGATGAAAATGGTGGAGCTCAAGATGCAGCTGAACAGCAGCTTCGAGGAGAACGAGAAGACGAGTCTGGAGATAGAGAAGCAAGCGTACCATTTTCAAGATCTCCTCAGGGAAAGGGAGCGGACCATCGAGGAACTGAAACTGGAGATCGACAAGATTCTGAGGCGACACGAGGAGGAGCGGGCAGAACACCGGATGGAGCTGGACAAAATCGAGGAACATATCAAAATGAACCAACGGGAACACCAGAACGAGATCCAGATGGTGATGGAACAAGCCAAAGATGAGCGACTCCAGCTGCAGAAGGAGATGCAGGTTCTGTTGGAAGGAGAGAAGAACGAAAGGGCGGAACTACAAAGGGAACTTCAGCAGATTCTCCATAGGGAAAAGGAGGAGCGGATGGAGATTAAGAAAGCCTTCCAAGACATGATGGAGAAACATAACGAGGAGCGGCACGAGTATGCCCAGGATTTCTTCCTTCTGGAACAGGACCTACGGAAACAGCGGGACGAGAACAAAGGCTACCAGGACGTGATCCTGCAGCTCAAGGAACATGTGGACGAATATAAGACCAGAATAGCCGTCCTCACCAACGCTCTCAACAAAAAGGAAGAAAAGTTCAAGGAAATCTCAGCTCTTCTCAACTTTTAGAACTTTCTCAAAGTCAATTTTACAAAGAAATTTAGAGAAAAGAAACACTATAAGAGAGGTTAAAATTGAAAATATGACTTTATGTTTCTTCTATCCAATGTTTATTGTGGTAAATGAAATAAGAGGAAGTGGATATAAATGATTAATAAAATTGGTTGGTTAAAAATGTGTTCGTTTCTTAATTTTTCTCATCTTTATTTTTTTAATTCAAATCAGGTATAGTAGAACCTTTCTTTAATGGACACCACTAGAGAACACCCCTCTACAAAGGACAGTTTTCATTTGCAAAATTACCATTTTTACTATTTAGCAACTCTCTGGTAAGAGGATACCTCTCCCTAAAGGACACTCTGCAATTAGGTGTCCTTTACAGGGAGGTAGTTCTACTGTATTACTATTGATTGGAGAATTTCTTTAGCTTTTGATCATTTTTCATATCGCACATATCTTAGATATCTTGTCGGCTTACTATTATATAATTTTGGGATATGTTATTTTCTTGTTTAAATATAAGAGTATTTTGCCATTGTTGTGCAGTTGTGAATCTTTGCAATAAAATCATCTAGAGATCGCTATTAGCTTTAATTGAGCTGATAGTAATTTATATAAAATTAATTAATTAATAATAAGAATTTGAAGAATATTGACAATTGTGAACAAAAGTCTGGTAAACGTTTCACAAAACAATGATGCGAAATTTGGCATAAGGATTCGCAGTGATGATTGTTTTGTAAGCTGCTGCAAGGATTTTAGTCAGATCTAGCAGAAAGGAGAGAGGGTAAAAATCTCCTTCAAACCAACTTCATTTAAACATGTTAAGAGGACAAAGGAAAAGAGACCAACTGATCAGCAGACCACGCTGCTCGCTAATCCTTAGTCGCCGGTTGGCACCGCTGGGGTTTGTTTGTTGTCACCTGTTCCATTGTCTGGCTGACATTCCCAAGTGGTTCTCCATTATTCCACAACAATATATCACTTTGTTTTATAAACATAAAATATAATTTAAAGGAAGAAACAACTTACTTGAGGTGTGAAGAAGAAAGAAAATAAAAGATTTGATTGCATATTTACAAAAGGTTTCGTGCCGGCTAAAAGAAACAACAATTTATTTCTTCTGTGTGCACCATTCACTTTATACAAATTCTACATGTTACCACGACTTACTCAAACTATCTACAAAGGTTACAAGGTTATATATGTTACATGGTTGCTCTATATGGTGTAAGATACATAATAATAAAATCTACCCCACTTGCCCAAAATGTAGCTTGGCACCTGCAGCTCCAGAACACATTTTGGCTTGCATTAAATGTACTAAACAGGACCTTTGGGAGAGGTTGCTGCTTATCATAAAACAGCTCGAGGAGCATGAACTCATGGAATTTGTGTAATCTTTACACAAGGGGATAAGAAACGACAACAACAGGGGTGGTATCTAGGTTTTGCTTCAAGTTGGATAAAATTAAAGCTTCTCTCCTTACATTTAAATTCTGAGGCTAAGATTCAGCCTGTTTGATAACTCCAAGAAAGCAGGGTTGCTTTGAGTCTTCTAGAATTTAAAATGAAGTCTCTTTTATACTCACTGGAGGATGTTTCATTTCTTGTATAATTTTTTAGAAATGGGCTTTTTCTATATTCACTCAGATCCTCACAAGTAAAAAAAGAATGTGTTCAATGATTTCATCATTATCAGATTCATAAAATGGGCGCATTGGGACCTCTATTTTTTATCAATTCTGCTACTCAAAAGAAATTAATCTAAATTTATTTCTCCCAGAGTGAAGAAAAAAAAAGGGGTGGCCAGGAATTGACAATGGATTAACTGCTTGTATACTCAAAAGAAAAGAGAGAATATGGGTTTACGGGCTACTAGCTAAAGTGTATGATTTTCAAGCTGGATGTAGCAAGCAGACAAACCACAATGCACTGTAGCAAAGTACTAAGGTATTGCATACCAAGGTTGAAAAACTTCCCACGCCGGGAATCGAACCCAGGCCTTCTGGGTGAAAGCCAGATAGCCTAGCCAATTAGACCAGGTTGGATAAAAATTGCATCGGCCGGGAATAGAACTCAAAAGAAAACAACAATGGATTTATATAGTGTAAAGCGGTGTCATCTGCCAATCAACTTCACAGAGATTTTCTAGAACAAATATTTTAAAATTAAACATTTTCTTTTTATTAACACATACATATATCTATTTTTTTTCATTATGTCAAAAATGATGTTTCAGCGAAGGCACTTCAAGTTATATTTAGTTATCAGAGATAACAAAATTCCATTGTACCTTAGTAACTTCTGTACTCGAGACAAAGAGGTGTGATTACTACTCTATAACCAATATGCCACAGTAAGGATACTAGTATACCTGGAGACTTTCATACCATTTACCTGGGTGAAACAGATACAGGAAAAGTATATTTCATTAATTATATTCCTTACATATATATGAGCCCCTCAATGCACAGATTGATTAACTCCATAAATAAATCAGGAAAAAAATGTTTAATTTTTGTTGAAAGTCTAAAAATCTAAATGACATATAGATTTTTAGACTTTCAACAAAAATTAAACATTTTTTTCCCGATTTATTTATGGAGTTAATCAATCTGTGCATTGAGGGGCTCATATATGTGGTAGGCAGGCACTATGCAGTCATGGGGCCAAAGTGGTGTCAGGTGTCAATGGGTAACACAAAGAATGAGGCAGGTTGAATGTCACCTCAGAGAGAGAGAGAGGCGGACAAGGTCTAAGAGGGTGTGATCAGCATTAGATGGAAATATGATCTGTTGTCGGTGTCTAATGGCAGTCGTAAAACTTATTGGAAGTTTCCAGGGAGGAAATGAAAATTCTTTGAAGAAATTGGACCCCTTGAAACCTGGCCCTGTCTTGGGTGCGGTGGACTCTCAATATAATTTTATACCTTTATTTGTGATGGCCAAGCTGGCATCTTGAATTGCATCTAGATATTTAGGGACTGTTACACTATTTATAATTATGGTACATATGAAAATCTATGCTATATTTAAATATATTACTACATATATATATGTAGTAATCCCGAGGTGGAATGTGCTGGGCAGTCGTGGTAGTGGGTGCGTGATGGGATTCCCGCACTGGGACAGCAAGAGACAGAGGCAGGTCTAGGTGGTAACTCCAAGAAGTAGAGGTAGACCACGGACGAAGGTAGTCGGACCATGGACGTCACGGATGCCCTAAGTCTACATCGCGGATAGGGGTGAGAAGTCTGACTGACCGTATGACAGCGTCGCTCTGAAACAACTGAAACAACTACTCTCTTTGTCCCAATCTTGGGGGGCTTATATACTCGACTCTGGCTCTTGTTGACGAGTTCTGATTGGCTGTCCTAATCACGCCACCTGTCAAGCGCTGGTTATTAATGATGTCTGGCCACGTGTCGGCCACCTGCTGACGGGGGAATGAACTCATTAGCATAAACACCTGTTAGTCTGGGTTGTTTATTACGTCTGGCCTTTGTCCTCTGGACTACCTCTACTCCTTTTGTTTTATTTGTCATTTCTATTATTATACAAGGTCGATACATATTTTTATATACAGATATGGGGTTATAATAAACATTAGAAGAAGATTGTGCTCTATCTACCTTAAAATATACTACAGAATGTGTCCCCGGTGATGAAGGTTTGGTTGGGGGAATGACATGTAATGAATGATAACCTAACAAACCTATTATAAAAAATAAAAGAAATAATTTGTATACAAATTAGTTAAAATTATTATTAAGCTACAAGTTAAAAAGAGAAAGATGTTGTAATGGTGGTATATCAATGAAAACGTACAAAATGAATGATAAAAGATTAAGAGAAGGTATATAATACAAAATGGTAACTATGGTAAAATGAATCGTACCAGGAAAATAATATCTTATTGCATGAAAGATGAGAGTAAAAAAAATGAAGTTAGTTTATTGACTGAACGTATGATGTGACGCTAAGGTTGAAAAGGGAAAGGGGGTATCTGAGCATGTTTCTGCAAAAGTAGTATCCCAAGCATCCTGCAATGCAATGCGAACTTGTTTAAGTGAGGCATTGTTTTCATTAACAGAAGGCCCAAGATATTCCGTCTGCATCATTAGTTCAGACATTGAAAAGAGGTGGGAAGATTGCTGGAGTTAAAAAGGAGAGGTAGAGGTAAGAGGGATCCCTGTTGTCCATAATGATTGTGCCCGGTTGAGTTGTGAAAAAAAACTGAAAAGTTGAAAAAATGATGTATTGATATGATGCGTCGGGCGATGAGAAAAAAAAATAAAAATATCGCGCTGGATATCCTGAACTCATTATCGGGAATGGTAAAGTGAGGAAGGAGTGTTCCAGTCGGATTAATCAATGAAAAAAAAAAAAATGTTCGGCGAACTGGAATCCCTTGGAAGGTAGGAGGTTTGAAGGATGCGGAAAAGGAGAGGTGGGTGTAAGAGAGTTATTGCTGTCAATGTTGATTGTGTCCGGCTTGTGTGGTGAAAAAAAAAGTTGAAAAATGAAAAAATGATGATGAGCCGGACGATGAGAGAGAAAAAAAATAAAAAATCCAACTGGGTCTCCTGAGCCCACTGTTGGGAGATGTACAGCGAGGAAGGGTCTTCTAGTTAGGTTAATCAATAAAAAAAAGAAAATGGCTGACGAACAATAATCTCTTGATGGATGTAAAAAGTTGAGAGGAAAGGTTCATGGGATAGAGTTAAGAGGTTGTAAGGGAAGCGTCAAAAATAACATATTGAAAATCTATTAAGAAAAATAAAATGGTAAATGTTTTATCTGTTCAAGAAATATTATAAATATTGTCAGGTGTAGGTTTTGTTAAAAATGGTGCCTAAAATAGTTGAAGTTGTAAAATGCTAAGTCTAAACATGATGAGAAAAAGAAAATTAAAATTAAATAAACATATTAAAGATAATGATATATAAAGGATTGATTGGTAGTTGATGGCATTAATGTTGATGGTTAATAAACAAAATGATATTATTGATTAATAATGAAATGTTTTATCTACATCTGTAAGTTAAAAAACAAAGTCCAACACCACAAAACTAGGTAAACTGTAAGTCTATTTACAAATAAATGAGAGAAAAGCTAGCAAACCTATTAAATGGGAAATAATTTGGGGCACAAATTAGTTACTAGAATAAAAATAAAGATAATGGGGAGTAGTGGTGACACATTGATATAAAATTATAAAACTATAAAAAATATATAAGAGGAGTACATAGGAAGGATAAATTTAAAGTAAACACACACAATAGCGAAAGTAAAAATATTTGGGAAAGCTGGTATACTAGTTACAGTTTTTTGTTACTTTTCTTAAGGTGCCTTGAGTATTTACAACATAGTTTCAGGGATGTAATACAGGAAGGAGGAGAAGTAGAGATAATAAAAGTAAAATAAAATATAAAAGAAAATTGACTTAAACAAAAGGTTTGCGATAGGTAGTGACACAGTGAGAAATAAAGGAAGGAGGTCTGAATTGGTTTCTGCAAAGGACATCTCAGGAGTCCTGCCCTGCAATACGAGCTTAGAAGCGAAGTATTGTTTTCAGGGTTCAGCAATCTCAAGATGCTCTGTAAGTAGCATTAGATCAGATGGGCAAAAGGCGTGAAGATCGAAGGAGAGATAGTTATGGGAGAATATGGGGAAGAAATCTTTTCTGAGAGAGGTTAAAAAGAGATGGTGTCTCAAAAGCTGCACTGCTGTCGGTGATTGAGCTCGATAAGATGAAAAATAAAATTAAACGAAAAATGAGTGGGCGCATCGTGCTGTGATGGCCTGGGTCGAGCGTTAGAGAAAAAAAAAATCTTGCTGGTTACCCAAGCTCTCCGTGTGGAGTTAACATGGGGAGGAAGAGTGTACCAGGTCGATGAATCATTAAAAAAAAATAAAAAAGGTTGACGAGCAGGAGTCTCAGGAACCGTTGAAGAGGTTAGAGGGTGGAGGTAGATTGTGAAAACAGGGCTGGACTGTTGCCATTGATTGATTGAACCTGAGTTTGAGGAAAAAAGAATGAAATAAAGAATGCTGGGACGGTGACCTGGGTGTAAATAAAAAAAATCGGCAAACAGGAACTCTGCGATGGACGAGGGGTGGTTAGAACGAAGGCATAGAAGGCCAATGGAAAATGATCAAGAGACGAGAGAAGTATGGAAGGCCTATAATTGATTGATTGACAGGTAAGAGTGTTGCAGTAAGAAGGACTGTCTCTGCTAATGATGGATGCTAGTTATGTAACAAGGGAGGGAGAGATGAAGTAGAAGAAAAAAAAAAACAATTAGGGGGAGATCAGTGCGACCTTGAATTTGTTGTCGCGTTAAGACGCACAGACAAATCGCTAGATTGGAGATTATAAGCGGTGATTAGGTTTAGAAAAATTAGAAAATAATGAATTTACGAAATTTTTTTGAGAAAAGGTTAGGGCATGGGTACAAATTTCGGTAGAGTTTCGTAAATGAAAATTTAACACAGGCAGGAATGAAATGTAATGGGGTATGGAAATTTTATGGTATGATATTAAGTTTTTGCATATTACATTTATAGTTGTATTTGTAATTGTGGGAAAAATGGGAGGCACATTTTGAGATGAGATGATTTAAAATTGATATTTATAAAAATACAAATCTAGGACTAGTTTTTAAAACTTTTAAATATTGATAAATATCAATTTGAATAGTAATAGGTCAAGTAAAATAAAGAGTGTAATAAATTTAATTATTAATATTGTACTATGGCCATAAATAAGGTATTAAAAAATACGCACAAATAAGTTTAGAAAATATGATTCGAGTAATTAAAATATAATATGAATTTTTTTATGTAAAATATTGAAATTAATGAATTAAAATATAAAAGTTGCTTAAAATATAAAGTGAAAATTGATAAATGAGGGTGTACAAGATTTAAAATTTGAATTGAAATGCTATAAAAATGGTAAAATAATGAACTTGATGGATTTATAATAATAATGTTATTGCTATTAAAATGGTATCGAATAATTAATTCAGAGCAAACGGAGATAG